AGGGCAAGGCACCTGCGGGCGGGCCCCAGCACCGGCCCAGGGTGTGAGGGAGCCCCGGGAGCGCCTCCTGCTGCAGCCGGGCCCGGCAGCTGCCTGTGAGGTAACCCCGGCTGCCGGCGTGCAAGGCTGTAGCTGCTCCCCGCCCTGGCTGTCGCCTGTTGAGATCAGAGCTGCTGCGTTCATTAATTTGTTCCTAATGAAAGTCCATTTTAGCTCTCCGTCCAGTCCTATCTCGTGTACGTTTCCAGACGCTACTGCTTTGTCCCTGACTCCTGCCCTGCAGTTCAATGTTGGGGGAAAAAAAGGCTCCTGGACAATTAATCCTTCTTCAATTAAACTGCAGCCATTGATAATTTCTGAGCCCTCATCTTTTCTGTAACTTAATTGTAGTGATTTAGCACTTCCAACCTAAGTAGTGTTCAGTTATATGTAATAATTGGTATCGCAGATGGGCAGGCCTTGATTGAAGCGGTGGAGTAGTTTATCATGGTAGGGGAATCTCATTATTGGCAAGGTAGAGTGGTGTAGGGTATGAGGGTCAAACTATAAGGTTGATAAAGAAATAAAGCAGTTATTATGATTGCAGAGCTTTCTTTTGTGGTCTGGAAGTAAAGCAGTGGGCCTCATCGTCCTTTTTGTGAACCTTTTGCAGATACCTGTCTTGTCTGGCATTAATTTAAATTGCTACTGGTAGGCTGAGATAGCAATACCTTCCACCTGCTCCATTCTGTCTTTCCATCCACTGAATAAAGGCAGTCTGCCAGGAGACGGAGATGTTAGGCCTGCTTAGGCCTTGTCTCTGTTCATTTAACTGAAATTGAGTGTACTGTTTTGATTAGCTAAATGTATATCTTTAAGCTTTCTTAAACTTCGTTTGAATCGCTTTAGTTTTCCTTGGCAATTTACTGAATGAAGGTAACCAAATTAGAGACAGCAAATCTACTTAGCCAAATTAGTATAAATTCACTTATAACAGACAAGGCCTTGGAAAGATGGTAGATATTGATGGTGCCACATTTGTCATTTTATTGTTGTTCAAATACCAGGAATCCCTTTGGCTTCAATTTTGAAAAGTTTGCTTAATAGTTTGACTAGGTGCCCTTGACGCCACAGAATATTTTGCCATTGATATTGACTGTTAAGAAAGTAGTTCCTAAATCTGCTTAAAATCTAAGGGTGGAATTTGGTATGTGCATGTTGAAATTATTTCTGTTGGCATCTTTAGGCACCTCGCACTTGGTTTATATTCCTCGTCTCCAGGAATTTAAAGGTTTATTTTGCAGGATGTTTTCTATCTTCTGATTTTTTTGATAACAATGATTAAAGATGAAGTGATAACACTAAATTTTGTGAGAGGCAGTAAAATTGAGTTTAAAAGGAGGTTGTTGAGGGATGTACTTGTACAATAGCAAAGGAGCAGAAATAGCTCCTTTGTGCAAAAAGAGAGGATGTCTGGAACATGGCCAATGTTCATATTGTGGAAAGTACATCAAACTGTGCTAGGAGACATCAGGTGGCAAGGGTTTTAAGGATCTGTCTTAGCATAAAAAATGGATTCTAGGACCACAGGATAATTCATGTGAGAAGGGACTTCAGGAGGTGTAAAGGAGGGTCAGCTATGAGGCCAGACCGGGTTGCTCAAGGCTGTATCCAATTAGGTCTTGAAAACATCACAGGATGTGAAGACTGTAGAGCCTTCTGGGCAAACTGTTCCAGGGCTTGATTGTCCTCATGATAAAAAGGCTTCTCCCTGTATCTAGTCAAAACCTCTCTTGCTTCAATTACCATAAGTAGCGTGTTTCTGTCGTTGGAAATACTTTTTGCCATGGAGGACCTGTATCTCAGGGACACTGAGTGCTTCCAGTTTCTACGACATCAGTAGGAGTAGTGTGTCCTTTGTGCCAGTTAGATTCCTGGTAATAGGAGTCAATTTTGACCTAAATTTTGACAGGGGGATGAACTTAGCTCTGTTCTTAAAAAGTAGTGAATAGCAGTGGTGGAAAGGGAGATTCATCAGTCAGTCTTCCAGCTAGCTTGGGTATCAGCTGTGTAACAGCATGGCTCTCGTGTATTTACCTGTGTTGGGGCAAGCTTTGTGGCCTGCCTGCGCACTATCTAAGCTAACAAGTTTAGTGGTAGATTGGGATATTTTTACCATTCTGTTGTGACTTCAATGTAGACATACTTCTGAAAGGCTAATAAAACATTACAATGTCAGTACGAGATGAACTTTGAAAGGTGTTTCTGTTCTTTCTTTTCCTACCATTTAAAAAAAAAAAAAAAAC